CCTTACTTACAGAGCAATGTGTGAGGGGTTACACAGGAACACAGATGTGATGGGGCAAGTCCTTCTGTGTATATGTTGTCCTATTGGTTGATAAATAAAGCACTGTTGGCCAATAGGGAAGAAAGATAGATGGGACTAGGAGTCAAGGAGGATTCTGGGAAATGTAGTCTAGGGTAGAGAGTCGCCATGTGATCCTGGGGAGAGAGGACGCATGAGGCTGCATCCTCAGTAAGATAAGACCTTATAAAATGCATATTAGTAATTATGGGTTAATAATTAAGTCAGAGCTAGCCATTAAGAAATGGCCAACAGCTTCATAATTATTATAGTGTCTTGTGTATTATTTAGGGGCAGAGACAGCGGCAGGACCCAGGCAGCTGGCGGGAAAGAATATTACTTACGCAGATGACTTTAAAAGCTGCCACATGAGCAGGTTTATATCCAGCACGCATGTATGCATGATGGTGCCTCTGTGGCTGCTCCTTCCCTGAATCCTTCCCTATCTGTGTCCTCTAGCCTTTCTTAGAGTCCATGAGGCGACATTCACTTACAACAGAGTTTCCTACAACTTGGGAGGGGTGGCTGGATGCTCAGGTCCTAGAACCCTCCTTTGCCCCTTCTTTCAAAAAAAGGGGTGTCAGGAGTCAACTAGCCCAGGTTTGATGGTCTTTGGTGAGCACCCAGCCAAACTCCTGAAGATGGCAGCAATTTGGCCTGGAGGATGCCTTGTACAGTAGCATATGTTCTTAACCTTATCACCACTGTCTAAGTATTTATAAAGCTGCACTTCTCTCATGGGTTTATATTCAAGTATATACAGTAAATGTACATTATAATTATGTACAGTATAACTTTAATAAAAATAAGATTGGAGTGAAATCCCTACCTGTTCATTAATAAAGGAATGAATGTCATTGTATCTATACTGACTGGAAGAATGAGTGTTCATAACCTAACTCAAAACTGTGATGGAACATAATAGTCAGAGAAAAGGCATATTACAGTGCATCATGTCGAGTATACACACATGCTACATACTTGGTTTTTCTGTAACTTTTTTGAGACAGGGTCTCACATACCATGAACTGGCTTCAAACTCAACACATAGCTGTGGATGACCTGAACTCCCACTACCTCTTCAATGGTGGGATTTTGGGTGTGCACTATCATGTCACTCATGGATGCAGAATTTAACATAGGTTGCACACATGCCAGGCAAGCACTTTACCAACCAAGTGATCTGCATCTCCAGCTCATGCTATAGGCTTATATACGTGAATTCAGACATGGGAAATTATCCGGAAGGAAACCTGGTAAATAGTTAACAACTGACTATTTCTAGATAAAGAAATATGCTTTCCAGAAGATGTAAAACAGATTTTAGAATTGCAATATGCTCTGGCTAATAGAGCATCCTTTAAGTTTTTAACTTCAAGTGTGGGTTTATATATGTACATATAATTTATATACATATATGTTTACATATTTTATGAGCTACCTAGAGCTGAGCTATGACTTTGAAGGTATTAAAGAATATTTGTTACTTAAAGAGAAGAATATAATATCTATTGGATGAGGACAAGCATGCATTGTTAAAAAGTACAATTTACAGGGGCATGGGAGGATGGGAAGGAGAGAGAACTGGGATTGATATGTAAAATAATATTGTTTCTAATTTAAATAAAATGTATTTTAAAAAAACAAAGTACAATTTACAAATAGAGTGAGGGAGGGCCATAATTCCATGTGAACATAAAGTAAAGCACACAACAAACACTTATTTCACCCTCAGTGATGTAAGCAGAGAGATACTGTGATGGGGGAAGTCCTGTGATTATGCCAATAAAACACTGTTGGCCAATAGGGAACTAAGATAGGTGGGACTAGGAGTCGAGGAGGACTCTGGGTAGGAGAAACACAGAGAGTCAAGATGTAACGCCTTGGGGTAGGAAGCTCGGAAACCTCTCCAGTAAGAGAAATACTTAGATTAGCAATTATGGGGTAATTACTTAAGTCAGAGCTAGCCAGTAACAAGCAAGGCCAACAGCTTCATAATTAATATAGCCTCCTGTGTGTTTATTTGGGACTCATGTGGCTCTGGAATCAGGCTGGCGGGAAGGCTTCTCTCAAGGAAAGGCTTCCCTTTACATAATGGTGATTAGGAGTGGGATGATGACTTTCCACGTAGAATGACAAAAGCTTTAAAGGAATTTTAGAAACAGAAGAATGGAGAGAAGCACAGATTTTTGGTAGCAGCATTTTCTCATGTGGGCTCTGTTTTGCTAGCAACAAGCAGAGACTCTCCTGGCTCGCTTAAGTGAGGCTTCCTGACTCAGCAACAAAACAACAACAACAACAACAACAACAAGGTTCTTTTAAGAGGCTCTGCTAACCATTAAAAGGTATGTATGTACAGCTGGAAATGGCAGTGACCACATCTCCAAGACGGCAGCTTTTGCTGGATGTCAGACTGAGACAGTGAGTTGGAGTCACGCTTACGCACGCCATCTTAGAAAAACTGTAGTTTAAACAGCTGCGGTTTTAACAGATAAGACACGTGGCCAGAAAAACATAAAGATTTACAGTAAAGTCAGACTTGGGTGAAGAAAAACCTCTAAAGGTTTACAGTGTATTTAAAAATATATATAAGATTGAGAGACTAAAAGAAAAGGCATAGTGGTAAATAGAGTATCCAGCTGTGGTGACGCATGCTGGTAGTAATTGCTGCAGAGGCAGAGTCAGAGGCAGGCAGATTTCCAAAGAGAAACCCTGTCTCAGAGAAAAATAAATCAAAGTAAAAGAAATAGAATAATAATAGATAAATAAATAAGCCACGTAAAGATGGAAAATGCACAGAGAGTCTGGATACTGTACACTATTGTGTTTTTCAGTTTTTTGATTGCTCAGGAAGGAACAGCTGCTAAAGTACACTTGATTATAAATGCTACTAAATTAATTCAACTTATATCTTTTGAAAATGCCTTGACTTCAAAATTTAAGTATAAGGATATGTTACTTGGGAAAGGAGTTTTTATTTATGTTTCTACAGAAAATGAAAAGCTGAGGATTTCTTCCAGGCTTCTGTGGTTTGATGAACCAAGTCCCCTGGAAGCAGTGGACCAAGTGTTCCAACAACTGAAACAGCTAAGATGATGCAGTCTTACAGACCCTGAAACTAAGGACTTATACAGGTTTCGGAGTTTTGTCATGATCCCCATGGTTTGAACAGCGCCCCCTTCCAGCATGAAGCAGTTTGGAATGAGCTATGTCCTAATTCCTATCTTGTTTATAAATCTTTGTTTTCATTTAAATGGGGTTGTTTATAATTGGCTAATGATCACAGCCAATCTCTTTTTAATGGTAAAAAGGGGAATTATGGTATGGGTATGGTTTTTCATTTATTGATACAAATTCAAGATCAATTTTGTGATATGTATATTTCTCCTCTTGATTAAGTATTGTGCTTATACTGTTCTTTTAAAACATAATGCATAATTAAATACAGATAGTTACTTATAATAGTCAGAACTTATAGTTAGGTTAGTTAGGTTTTCTAGATATACAGAGATATATTTGAGATAGACAGTCTTCAAACCTTTCAAAGACCTTCAGAAAATGGCATTTAAAATGGTTTAGGGCTTTTCTTGACAACGAGAAATGTCTGCTCCTGGCAGCACCAATTACGCCTGAGAGAAAGATGGGCATTGAAGAAACTCATTATGGAGTTTGCTTTCAACATGGCAAGATTAGCCATTTGGGCAAGAAACTGCTCTTGCCTAGACTGTTTGTTGCTGTATAAACTGGACATGCAGGACCCACAGGAAAGTGATTGCTGAACTCAAACAGTCCTTCAGGGTTCCTGCTTCATGGAAGAGTCTACGAGTCTTTCTGAGGACACAGAATAATGACTGACAGACTGCCAATGCAGATGGACAGTTTGAAATTTCCTGCTTTGCTGAGAAATCTTCTGGACACACTGTGGCCTATGGGCTAAAGATGGATGCCCCAACATTACAGAGGAACTTTGGGTGACTGTCCAGGTAGCAAGATGTCTCTGTTAATCCTAGTGTTTATATATTATCCTTCTGTGGCCTTTGATAGAATTGAAGGCAGATAGTTATAATTATAGTTTTCCTTAGTTATGATAAAAGATAAGCTACATATAGAACTTTGGACTCACAAGGATGGGATGGATGATATTTTCTTTAAATCTTGCTAAAATATTGTAACTGTGTTCTTACTTGATAACTGTTCTGTTATATATAATTTGACTATGTTAAAGTTAGACCTTTCTTTTTGTAAAGACAGAAAAGAGGAGATGATGGGGGAAGTCCTGTGATTATGCCAATAAAGCACTGTTGGCCAATAGGAATCTAAGATAGGTGGGACTCAGAGTCGAGGAGGACTCTGGGTAGGAGAAACACAGAGAGTCAAGATGTAACGCCATGGAGGTAGGAAGCCCGGAACTATTCTCCGGTAAGAGAAATACTTAGATTAGCAATTATGGGGTAATTACTTAAGTCAGAGCTAGCCAGTAAGAAACAAGCAAGGCCAACAGCTTCATAATTAATATAGCCTCCTGTGTGTTTATTTGGGACTCATGTGACTCTGGAATCAGGCTGGCAGGAAGGCTTCTCTCAAGGAAAAAGCTTCCCTTTACAATACTGAAGTTAGAGAATGTAGCAAAGAGGATCTTAGCTTAAAAATCATTTATCAGACAAATGTATTTATATCCCATAAATATGAACCACATGAATGCCTGTCTTTCTTCTTAAGATTGACCTTTACCCCCACAGAGCTGTAAAATGACCCAGTTGAACAAAGACAAGCAAATATGTGTTCCTCCAGTTGCTGTTCAGAGCAACAATGGCTAAAGAAAATGTGGTCTATTTACACTGGTCAGCATAGAGAAAAAGGAAAGAAGAGTTTTTGTTCTGTTTTCGTCATGAACCACATTGTAGGTTGTTAACCTGTGTGTAAAGACGACTCAGAACTCTTACCTGTGTGTTTGTGTCCCGTTATCTTCTCTTCACACTCCGTCTCTCTGGCCTCTGGTGTCCACTACCCTGATCCACTCTTCTGAGACTGGTGTGTGTGTTTCTTCACATGGGTGGGAGTATGCGATGTCTGTATTTCTGTGTCTGGTTTATTTAACGCAGCACAATGACTTTCATTTCCATCGAGTGTATGTGACCCAGATGGTAAATAGCTGAAGAGAGGAAAATAAGGACGTGACCGTTACGTATTGAACACAGACTCTGACACATCATCATGTGTCAACCGTCAGTATCACAAATGCATGCCAACATGTGCCAGTTAAAAGCAAAAGGAAAAATATGGAACAGCAAAGAAATAACAGAAATAAAGAAATCCAGGAGTGGTGACACATAGCAAGTAATCATTTTCCACCTTCAGGGAGATAGAGCATGTGAATATTAATATTACAGCATATTATCTGACGGTTTTTGTGGGTGGAGTAATACTTTCAGACAGAGGATTTATGTTTTTTCTCTTAATGTTAGTGATTATGAAACTGACATTTTTCAAAAAATAATTTTAAGGGCTGCATATTTCATTGTAGGTTGTGCATAACTCACGACTTTATAAATTTTTACCATTTTAGGTGCTCGCATTCCGATTTTAGTATTATTAGCATTATATTTAATGTTTTTGTGTAACTTTCAAATTTTTACAAAATCTTCACCCTGTTCCAGTTTCATTTATATTTTCATGAATTTTTATATGCAGACTATGTTAATAAATATGGAAAAGCAATTTTAAAAGGTACACTTTTGCCGGGCGTTGTGGTGCTCGCCTTTAATCCCAGCACTCGGGAGGCAGAGGCAGGTGGATCTCTGTGAGTTCAAGGCCAGCCTGGTCTACAGAGCGAGTTCCAGGACAGCCTCCAAAACAATACAGAGAAACCCAAAAAGGTACACTTCTGTGGAATCAGGTGTTAGCAGGCAAGCCTACTGGGCATGCCCAGGGTCTATTGGAAGGACAGCTAGGAACCTCTTTTGCTCATTTCGAAACTTGGCCAATTTTCCCTCCCCTAGCTATGTTTATGATCACTGTGGTAGTTTGAATGTAATTGGTCCTCATAATCTCACAGGGAGTGACACTATTAGGTGTCACTTTGTTGGAGTAGGTTTGCCCTTGTTGGAGGAAGTGTGTCGCTATGGAGGTGGGCTCTGGAGGTTTCCTATGCTCAGGACACCACCCAGTGTGTCATTCTACTTCCTGTTGTCTGCAAGATGGAGCACTCTCAGCTCCAGCACCATGTCTACCCACACGCTGCCATGCTTCCCATCATAATGAACTAAACCTCTGAAACTGTAAGCCAGCCACCCCAGTTAAATGTTTTTTTGTGTAAGAGTTGCTGTGGTCATGGTGTCTCTTCACAGCAATAACCCTAAGACAATCACTCTCTGCCTTTTGAAACAAATTTGAATATTTGTGAATGAGCCCATAGATCTTAGTCACTTCTTCAGTGTACACATAGCAGGTGGATACTAGTCATTTATCCTCTTGACAAGACTGCCAAGTAGCAAGGCAGATTTGATTGTCTCCCTGGTGAATACAACTCCAAACTTTTACCTTCGGGAAACTTCTGGAAATCCTTGTAGAAGATGTTTTCATTCCACTACCAATCTCTTCCTCAAACATACCGGAAGTAACTTGACTAAACCTAGTAAGGGTACATTTGTTTCTTAAACTCAGTGGCAAAGTACTTACAATCTGTACCAGATGTTGAAGGGGAATTAACAAAAATGAGAAACAATACAAAACCCACTATAGCAAAAATGGGAAACAAAACAAACCTCTTAAGCATTGTAGGTTAACAACATTCCGGGTCCACCCAGTTTCTGTGGTGGTTTTCCTTCTTTGGGCTCCTCCCAAGAGTCTGGAGGCTACAGTGGAGAGTCTTTGTCCTTTTAGCAACTCCATGTATCAATATTTCACAGGTTAGTGCAGAAAAATGTATAAGGTAGTAAATAACTAAATTGTAAATTATTGTTATGGGACCAGATGAGATCAATTTACCCTCCATAATTATTTGGGTTATTAATGTTAATTTGATGAAGAAATCAGCAAAGTTTCTAAAATAGGACCTAAAATTTTAGTGGATCAACTGTAAAAAATGGGCTACCAGACAGTCGATCGTATAAGAAATGTATAACACAGAAGTGTTCAGAAAGGTGAAGGAATAAAACATTCACTGATGTAACATTTTTTAAAGATTTATTTTATTTTTAATTATGCATGCTTGTGCGTCTTTGTGTGGGTATTTTCAAATGTGTGGGTGCTTACGAAGGCCAAAGGAGTCATTGGATCCCTTGGAGCCAGAGATACAGGCTATTGGGCGCTGCCTGGTGGGATGGAGGGAACAAATTTGGGTCCTTGGAAAGCCCTCCTGACCCCTGAGCCATCTTCCCAGGCAGAGGTGTAGTCATGTCTTTAACATGACCGTGACTATACTTTCCGAACCAAAGCTGAGGCTTCATACAGTCTAACTGAAGATTTTTGGGGGGCTATGATAATATGTAGATGTGAAAGTTTGTCAATGTTTAAAAATCTTCATCATACGTACTTATGTACCTTAATAAATACAGCACATTTTAAAAATACAAATAATTGGAACCATCTGGAAAAAAAACCCAAAATATGTGATCTTCCTAACCAAGAATAGTAAACCTTGAAAAGGCTCATTTCAATGGATCATTGAAATAATCATTCAAAAATTGTGCCATGGTTTTACGTTCCTTAATAGTCAGGTTTCCAATGCTGTGAGAAAATCAATTTAAAAGTAGGAAAGAGTGATTTTCCCTCGTAGTTTCAGATGTTTCTGCTCACGGCCACTTAGCTTCTTCCTGTAGGTCTACAATGAGGAAGAACACTCTGCTGGGGAATTCATGAAGAACCTGCCAGTCACTGTCTGGTGGGCAGGAAGGAGGGAGGGGGGAGAGGAGAGAGGGATAAAAGAGGAGGAACAGAAAATAAAGAGTAGAGAGAGAGAAGGAAGGAGGAGGATGAAAAGGAAGGGACAGGCTCTGGTTTCAGAGGCCATGATCCCGAAAACTTGACTAACATCTACTAGGCCCCCTTCTCCTGAAGGTGCCACCATCTACCACTAACAGCACAGGCTGCCAATCAAGCCTTCAACACATGGACCTTTGAGAGTCCAGATACAAACTATAGCGATGGCTAATGGAACTGTGGCAGAGTATTTCCTTAACACAATCAACCAGGGTCAGTTTCTGTCTCTGAACCTAGGAACCTCATTACCTGGGAATTCTGGCAACTTGCTAAACACAGATGATGATTGATTTCGTCTACAGAAATTTGTTGACTCAGTCCTGATTTTGTTTGGTTTGGGTTTGATTTTTTGCCTTTGCTGTTTGTTTTGTTTCTTTTTGCTTTTAGCAATAGTATCTCTATCATTCTTATTTCAGCCTGGCCTGGAATTATTTAAGAAGCCTGGCTTAGCCTCCATATCACAGGGATCCTCCTATCTCAGCCTCCCAAGTGCTGGGGTTGCAGGTGCTTTCCGTGCCTGGCTGTGATTCAACCCTTCCAACAGCAGTTATTTACTTGGTCCATTTCCCAAAAGACACAAATGCACCTATATTTGAAGAACAAAATACCCACCCATTCAGTATCAGAGGCATGCATATACCCACTCTCTTTTGTGTGTACTTGAAAACGTAAAACTTTCATTTTTGCTTAAAATGCACTTTTGTCAACTGTCAAGGGAAAGTCAGGATTAAGCACCCCGTCCTTTAAATTTACAAACTGTAAATTTATAGAAAGTGTCTGTCCTCTACTTTACAACACATGATTTTCCTAGGGATCCATCGAGGGAACTGAAGTGTAAGGCATTCCACAGTGGCCACACTGTGTGCATGAACACAACTGGTTCCAGTTAATAGTGAGAGCTCTGTTTGTGTTATCTTTGCCTCCTCTCAGGAATGGGACAATAATTCTTTTGGTAAGCTGATGCTTTCTTTGTGCTTTGTTTACAAAGCCACCCTACCCCCCTGTTTTACTTCCCCAACACAGAATATTAGTGTACCCTTCCTTCAAGGTGTTCTGGGGTATGGCAGTGACCTTAGAGATCAAATACTGTTCTCTTCCATAGTGCGGGTTTTAAGAATATGAAAAATAATAATAGGTCACACTCCTGACCCTAACCCCAACCCCAACCCTAACCCTTACCTCCTGAACCCGGCACAATTTGAAGGTGACAAGCCTGTGGTTATGTCACACTCCTGGCTCCAGCATGAGGGAGACTGAGGCCTTCTGGCTAGCCTGAGCTACATAGTGAATTCAAGGTCAGCCTGGGCTTCCTAGAGAATTCCTGTCACCAAACAGCAACAACAAAACAAAGACTTACACTCTCCCACCCCCACCCCCTTAGGTTTCAACACAAAATTTCCTTTAGGAACCTATCATTCCTAATCTCTTGACTTTTTTTTTCTTGTAAAATGGGCAAAGGAGAACAAGTGAAATGATATGTGCGAAGATTGTACAGTGTTACCTAAAGAGCCATTAACCTTAGGATGCGTGTGTTGGTTAGGATATGGCTTCAGCCATGTTTGATGAAGACGCTGGTAAGCTGGGTCAAATCTTGAAGGCAATAAGTAGAGCTATGACCCCACAGTCAGGGCTGTTGATTATGAACCCACGCCTTTAACCATCCCATCGCGTTCACCTCTGGTCTGTCTCATAGCATCACACACCTCACAGTTGTTTTCCTGGGATGTTTACTTAAAAGTAAGAGTGTGTGAGCATCAATTATCTCTCAAGATTTTCCCATTAGATGCCCCCACTGATAGGCTTAAATTAGACATTCTGTTTTCGTTGCTTTTTCACTAATTTACTTTACCCTTTTATTTTTGAGATTTTATTTTAGCTACAGTATTTCTCCCTTCCTTTTCCTTCCTCCAAACTCTTTCATATACCCCTCCCTGGACTCATTCAAATCCATGGCTTCTTTTCTCACTAATAGTCATTATATCCATCTATGTATTTGCATATGCATAAATATTTCTAAATACAACCCGTTCCGCTCATAGAATGTAGTTTGTATGTTTGTTCTCAAGGCTGACTGTTTGGCTCTGGACAACCAATGGGTGGTCCTAAGGAGACACACACTTCTTGCTCCCAGCTTTACTCAGTTGCCTGTAGTTCTTTGTGTAGGATGAGGGCCTTGTAGGCTTTTTCCTGAGTGCTTTGGCATGTTCATTGGTATCCTCCTTGTTTAGCTCACATTTGGGCAGTTATGTTGGTGAGATTTTATGCATGTAACTTCTTACACTTGATCTTAGCCAAAAGGCCGAGAAGTGATGTGTGTGGCTTCCTATGTTACTAGAAGACACAACCTCACGGCAAACTCCCTGAACCTCTGGCTCTTACGGTTTTCCCATATTCCTCTTACATGATGTTTCCTGAGCTTTAGATATAGAAGTGTTTCATTGAAGGGTCCATGTGACTAGACTCCACAACTCTCCATATTGACTGGTTGTGGTTTTCTGTAGCGGTCTTTTTCTGTTGCAAAAAGACATACATTAATGAGGGGAGAAGACTACACTTATATGTGTATATAAGGTCAAATGTTTATAGGTTATTATTAGGGATTATTTTGGTTTTGTAATCAGTGGTTATAGATTCTCCTCCAATAACCATGGTTTCACTAACACTAGTTAATTAAGTAGGTTTTTAGTACCAGGCACAGAATCTTTAAGTCCAACTAGAGGGTAGTTGGTTACTGCCAAGCAGTGTGTGCCACTACTGCACTAGTAGGGTGGTTGTTGATGCAGTTCATAGGTGTCATAGTTGGATGGGACTGCTGGTTGCTTCTCTTCTTTGGGAGCTTGCATGGTGCCTTCTGATACCATAGAAACTTGTTTCAGGGAGGAGTATTCATGTTAGTTGCTCAGAGGCCTTTGGGTCCTGTTTCTAAAATGCATGGTGTCTTCACCAATAGGGACGTACTTTCCACCTCTATGGGGTAACCTAGGCAACAGTGGTTGACTTTGTATTGGGGAGTCTCTTATCTCTGACCAACAACTCTAAAGAGGGCTTCTCCTGTTAGGTACTGGGGTTTTGTTCAGTGGTTTGTCTTAGTCAGTATTCTCTTGCTGTGAAGAGCTGTCATTACCATAGCAACTCTTATAAGATGAACTTAACTGGGGCTTGCTTACTGTTTCAGAGGTTTAATTTATTATCATCATGGTGGTCCACATGCAGACATGGTGCTGGAGCAAGTAGCTAAGAGTTCTATGTTTAGATCCACAGGCAACAGGAAGAAGAGAGAGGCCACTGTGACCAGCTTGGGCCCTTGAATCCTCAAAGCTCACCCACAGTGGCACACTTCCTTCAAAAAGGTCATACCTCCTAATCCTTTCAAACAGTACTACTCCCTGGTGACCAGCCTTCCAAATCTTTAAGCTGATGGAGGTGATTCTTTTTCAAATCTTATGGTTCTTAGAGGGAGCACTGTCAGCATAGAAATATATATATATTTCTCATATATTTCCATGTATTATTTTTAGGTAAATGGTTAATCATACGATTCTTTGTGGCTTTTTTAGCCATCTATTTTGTTATTTTACCTCCCCTTCCTGTATTTATCTCTTTCCCTTTAAATCAGAAATACTTAACTCCAACTTACATAAAGAGGTGTAAGAGGTAGCAGAGAAGGTAGGTCAGTCCCCATCAGCTATAGGGAGGGTATCCAGGCAACACTTGGTGAGGCACAGCTCTTCTTCCCTTGGCAAGCTGGGAATGGTACATCCCAGGAACTCAGAACTTGAGATGTGGGAAGCAGCTCAAATTCCCACCTAAGATGGATACTTTACTCAGTCTTGAAATCTTGGGACACAGTTTTTGGAGAAACAATAGCAGGTCTCTGCATATCCTGTTCCTATTATTGTGGGCAATGGGAAAAGTTAAAAGCTAAAATAGACACCATAAAAATAGCAACATCACTACCCGCTCTCATACTACCCCCAAATCCCTTATTAAGAACTAAGCAACTCCACTGGGCATTGGTGGCACAGGCCTTTAACACCTTTAATCCCAGCACTTGGGAGGGAGAGGAAGGCAGATCTCTATGAGCTTGAGACCAGCCTGGTCTACAAGAGCTAGTTCCAGGACAGCCTCCAAAGCCACAGAGAAACCCTGCCTCGAAAAACCAAAAACACAAACAAACAAACAAACAGAAAAACAAAACAAAGCAAAACAACAACAAAAAACAACTAAGCATTTCCAAGACCACTGCCGTGGAAACTCCTCACACTAGCCAAGAAGTGTGTCTTGGCCGAATGTCTCCCATGTACTCTGGGGTTCCTGGAAAGTCCATCTGTAGGCTAAACGGACGCTGTAACGATACGCGACACACAATTACTGACAGTAAAGCTAAGTATTTAATGTAGAAAATTACTCACAAGATACCAAACCCAGAGGAGCCAAACAGTTCTCAGCTAGCGGCCGGACCGGAAGCCGAACTCCAGGAAAAGAGACCGAGACTTCCTGTGTGCTGTCTTTTATGCCTTCCCCCCTTAACGCCCCTAGCCATGCCCAAAAGTGGACCTGGCTAGTGACGTAGTTCCACCTACGTACGTATACGTCTTTACGTCCAGCCGTATACGTCTTTAGTCCTGCCTAAAGTGGGTGTGGTTAGCGGTGTGGTAAACCGCCCTTTTATTACCTCATCTGTATGCGCCTCTAATAAGTCACATGTTTAATGGCGGCATCAGACTTCCTCCTACATCCATCAGCAGGTCAAACTATAGCAAGAGGGACCAGGTGAAGCTTGGAAATCATTACATGTTGGATTTTGTGTCCTAGAACACAAATGTAATAAGGGAAGAAAATGAAAGATTTTTAAAAAAGGAAAGAAAAAGGTCTTGAAAAAAGTCTGCAAACACAAAGTGAAATAAAGCCAGTTATGGCTGAATACATTGTAATATATTTTAGCTAAAATATAAAATCATTAGTAGAACTTCTTTTAATACATGTTAAATTTAATCTTTTTTAAAGGTAAAGTGAAAAAACGAAGAAAAGTGAATATCCATGTGTATTAGAGTTCTCTAGAGAAACAGCACTGATAGAATCTATCTACAATCTGTCTATCATCTATCTACCATCTATTAACTATCATTTACCTATCATTCATATCTACCTATCTATCTATCTATCTATCTACCTATCTATTTAAATGAGATTTATTAGAGTGGCTTGCAGGCTGGATATTCCAGCAATGACTGTCTTCTGATGTGAAGGTCAAGAATACCAATGTTGTTCTAGCCTGAGGCTGGATGTCTTCACTGGTCTTCAGTATACTCAGGGGTTCCAAAGAAGGCTGTGATCACAGTGAAGGAATGAACGTGCCAGCCAGGGCACGGGCAAGCAAGACAATATGAAAAACTTCCTCCTCCCGTGGTCTTCACAGAGGCTGCCACCAGAAGCTGAGGCCCGGATTTAAGGTGGGTCTTCCTACCTCAATGATCCAATCAAGAAAAATCCCTCACAGGGCTTTAGTTGCAGATGTAGTCAACTTTACAACCAAGAACAGCCGTCACACTGTGTAAGTCAAAACATAAAACTCAAAACATGAACATCAAATAATTTCCCATTGGGCCATACATCTCTATCTGTTTCTCACTCACTTCTTCTACAATCACTGCTGACTGCCCGAGGGCAAGGGCTGGCTCTGCAGCAAGATCTTGTCTGTGGTTCCATTGATCACTCAACTAGAGTCAATAACGATAATGAATACAGAAATAAATTACCATTAGCTGAAATACAGGGAGTGGCGGAATTTACAGAAGGCTTGGAGCACTCCAACGACTCGCTCTGCTGTGTCCCTCCGCCCCGGGTGGAGGAATGCTATTCTTCTGTTACGCTCACTGTGTTCTCTCACCCTGCTTGTCCCTCTCAGTAGCCCTCCCCTCCACTGCTGCAAAGGGGGAAAAGGAAAGGAAGGGTGTAAAAAGAGGCTTTTTCCTTGAGAGAAGCCTTCCCGCCAGCCTGGTTCTAGAGCCGCATCAGTCCCAAATAAACACACAGGAGGCTATATTCATTATGAAGCTGTTGGCCTTGCTTGCTTCTTACTGGCTAGCTCTGATTTAAGTAATTACCCCATAATTGTTAATCTAAGTATTTCTCTTACTGGAAAACTTTCTGGGCTTCCTACCCCAAGGCGTTACATCTCGACTCTCCGTGTTTCTCCTTCCCAGAGTTCTCCTGGACTCCTAGTCCCACCTATCTCGGTTCCCTATTGGCCCAACAGTGCTTTATTGACATAATCACAGGACTTCCCACATCAGAAGGAAGCTGAGGGGTTGCCTAGAGGAGGGAAAGAGAAGTGCTGAGTACCTCCCTGCACCCGGGCAAGGAAAGACTAGAGTCTGTAACAGCTAGAAGGGGCCACGAGGCCAGCCTCCTTACTATTCATTTTACAGATGGGGATGGGGTTACCCACTTACTAGGGGCCACAGAGGTAAAGGGCACTACAGGTGCTGGAACACTGGCTCCCCAACTTCGTGGGAGAAAGTCTAAAGTCCTCCTTTTTGCTGGGTGGGAGAGGCAACCCACTCCAGCCATCTGAGGCCTCTTCTGTTGTTTTCTCTTCCCATCAGAATGTACTTTATCTCTGACCCTCCAAAAATGTAGAACAATTAATTCAATTACTCTCAGTCTTCTGTTCTTTACCAAAACAAAACAAAAAACCCAAACCACACACACATACACACACGCACACACACACACTCAAATCGTCACTAGTTTTAAGTGATATTTATTTATGTGTGTGAGTGTACACATTGAGGTGAGAGGAGAGGCTTCTGGAGGCGGTTCTCTGCTTCCCCCAAGTATGCAGGGTGTGGGGATGAACTTGAGTTACCAGTCTTGGCTTCGGAGTGTCTCCACCCTCTGAACACTCTCCCCTTGGCCCTTCTCCTCTATCTTTTTCCCATTATCTTTTTCTACTCTGTTTACAAAGAGCACATTATGATTTCTCTACACTTTGGAAGATGAAGCTGGCAAGCCAAACTGAATGAACTTGGTGGCTTTAAAGATCTGTCTGGCCAGGTAAAGACACGAGAGCCTGACATTTCTCATTGCATCTTACTCCGACGTTTGAATTTTGCTGGCTAGTTATTAAAATTTAAAAACAGCATAGTGCTTATTTTCACTTTGTCAGCAATGACCTGAGAAATTGTCGACTTATTACAATAAAGGTGCTCCCCTGTCCGGTTTGTGGAATGTGTGTCACTTTTACCTTTAAGGATCAGCTAGCAAATGCAAGTGAAGAAAAATAAGCGCCTGCTAACAGGATTTAGAATGGAATTAACGCAGATCCTGTGTCCATCCTGTTCCCGTTTTAGCGTCCCAAGGTCCTTGTCTTTCAAAGGGACACGGCTGGCGGCGGCGCCCTAGGGCATCAAAGGTTCTCTGTGGAACCTTCGGTAGAACATTTTGTGAGATTCCAAAAGCCTGAGTTTCCCCAGTACAGAACCTAGGTACGAGACTGAAACTATTAGCCAACTCATCCCGAGGCACCTGGGAGGCACAGCACCGGCTGGAACGCGGAGCCAACGGGTCTGTCCTGCCGAGCAAGTTTCTGCTTGGGGACGCTTGCGAAGCTCCGCCACGCCGCGGCGTGTCAAGCTGGGCCGAGTCCCTTGGAGTAGTCTGCTGAGCCCGGTGTAGTGCCCCTGCGCCGTCGACGGCTTCCCGTCGCTCGGGCTCGCCTCCCACCCTGCCAGTCCCAGACCCGTCCCACATCCCCAATCCCGGCTCGCACCTTTCCGGAGCCTCAACCTGCGCGCCGGGCCGGGGCGGGACCCGGGCAGTGACGTCACCACCAGGGGCGTGGCTCCGGGCACCGCAGTGCAGCGCGGAGGGGCGGACAAGCGGGGCGGGGCCTGCGGCGCGTGACCGTGCTGCGGGAGCTCGGCGGCTTGGCGGGCCGACAGGCGAGCCGGGTGGCGCGGTCGCCGGGCGCGAGGGAGGGCCGGGCTGCTCCTCCGCCCTCTGGGGCCAGTGCGTGGAGCCGCGCACCTGGCAACGGCGCCGCGTCCCCGCCCGCGCCGCCCCGCACCCCCTGCCGGCGGCCTCGAGCGCTCGCTCGCTCGTTGATGCCGTTCCGGGGGTGACCCGGCGGGGCTCCGCGGTGGCGGGGCGCTAGACGACGCCGGCCCAGCCAGCGACGCGGGAGCGGGACATGCTGGAGCTGCGGCATCGCGGGGGCTGCCCCAGCCCCGGGGGAGCGGGAACACCGCCACCCCGCGAAGGAGAGGCGGCCGGCGGCGACCACGAAACCGAGAGCACCAGCGACAAAGTGAGTGAGGAGAGAGTGAGTGAGGCGGGCCCGGGGCCGCGCCCCTGGTGCCGCGGGGGTCCCGTGTGTTCCCCGGGCGGGCAGGCGGGCGGGCGGGCGGGCGGGCGGGCGGGCGGGCGAGGCCGGGACCGCACTTGAACCTGACTGCACCTGAGCTGCTGCTTCTCCCGATCCTCCCACCCCCAACCCCGCTCTGGGGTCAGGGTGGAACCTGTCACCGCGGGCGCCCGGGCTGTCTAGTTGCTGCCACCTCTCTTGCCTTGCCTTGGTAGGGCGACAAAGTTGGGAGTAAACTTAAGATGGGCACCTTGGTTCTAGGCTGTCATTGGAGCCTGACGCAGACAGGCTGTGGAGCTACTCCAAGCTGCGCTTTCGTTTCTCTGTTCTTTTTTTTTTTTTTTTTTTTTCCCCCGACTGATATATTTCGAAGAGTTGAGGCTACTTGGGGGAAACGTGAGTGCGGTTTTTCGTTTAACCGGACAGTCCAATTCCAGACTTTTCACACCCATCCCCACACTTTTAATAAAATAGGTTAACCTTGCTTCTTATTTTAAAACACGCAGATGCAGTGCCCCTGTTGTAGTTAAAGCTAGGCAGAGTCAAGAGCTTAGGTGTGTTTCCTAATAAGCTGATGCCAGTGAGAACTTTTTGGGGAGAAAAAATGCAGTTTTATGACCGCGTGAAATAAGTTGGGAAATTGGGCCACAGAATACATTTATAAAAGCTTATGTTTACAGAATTCCACTTGGCTTGAGAAACTCAAAACTTTCGAATCATCCTTAGAATTATTTTCGTGGAAGATCACAGTGTGGTGGTGTTTGCCTGTAATCCCAGCACTAGGGAGAGGTGAAGGCTAGACAATGATTCTCAGCTTTGTAGAAAGCTCAGTGCTGGCCACGATGTCAAACAAAAACAAAAAGGTGACTTTTTAAGTTGTCTTGGGATGACCCAAGGTCAAGCTCACTGGGCTTTGGTGCTGGAAGCTAACTTCCCCATCCCTGCCTGTGCAGTCCTACATGCCTGGCAGATTGAGTGTTCCTCCGAAAACTTACGTTAATGAACTTGATGGAGCTCGAGTTACAAATCTGTGCCATGTAACACGGAAGCAATAAATATGATGGTGACTTTAGGATCAAAACTTTAGACCCAATGAGTTGACAGCTTTTCTTTCCTGTTCTGGTCTGTATGAGTGTCTGGGGAGTGTATGTGCTAGGGAAATAGACGAAATAGCATTTTCTAGCTATAGAAGGTTGAGAACTGGAAGCAGTGTGCTAAGAACAGCCTTTGTGAAAACTGTCTTGGAAACCAGACCAAAAATAGAATTAATTAGGTTGGGATTTTGTTTTAGCATTGGTATCCTTTGGAATCAAGGAAATACCAACCTCCTCATGCTGACTTCCTTAACTGGAGAAAGCTAACAGGGCTTCTTTTAACACAAAACATGTCCTGAAAATGGGAAGCAGTGCATAAAATAGCTTTTGAATTTACTTACTCACATTTTAAACACCACAATGCATTTAAAATAGGAATGACTTGTGCAGTGTCATTTGACTCAGTGGAATCGTCATCTCTCTTGGTGACTTGTTCACCCCACTGGCTTGTGTGTTTATTCGTAAATGCTGTGTTGTTAGCTGTCATTGATACATACTTTGGCGGATGTGGCTTTCCGAGCTGAAATGCATCCATCTGTAACTCGTTTCATCATGATTTCTTAGACGAGGTGAGCTTGTTCAAACCGCGCCTAGATACTCCTGTACTTCTAGAGTGTGGTCTCAAGGCGCCCTTGACTTGCCAGGCGTCGAGCTGTATCCTCTGTCTGTCCTTCCTTATCAGGGTGTGTGTTTGAACACACCTGTATTTCCAGGTCAAGGGCTATTTTTAAATGAGTTGCCTGTTGGAGGCTGGTTAATATTTGGTCCATCGAAACGCTCTAAGTGCTGTTCTGCTCAAGAGCCAGTAAAAGGAGAAATTAAACCTTTTGAAATTAATGCAAGAAGGGGAGGAGGTGCTTTACATCCTGCTATTAAACTGTACTCCCGTGCTGTGCCGTTTGGTAGCCTTTATAATGGTATTGCTAGTGTGACATTTTCATTGTTCAGGACCCTGAGACTTCTGCTCAGAGAAGGCTCTGTGCTCTGGAGAATTAACATGTGGAAAAAGTGCTTCTTACCTCCAGGGGAATGTTCCAGGAGATGGAGTAGTACTTGACGGAGTACTCCCCCAGCCCAGGCCCCACTCTGGAGACCTGTGTGGCTTAGAATTAATAGATGGCTATGAAGGCCTTGTTAGCATTTGGAGGGCCTGAATGAACTCTGCTTGGAGACTGTAGGAGAAACTGTCAAGAGTACCTGAGGGGGTTGAAGTAGGAAGTAAAGATGCCTGGGAATTCAGTCAGGTGGGCAGGAATTAGGACAGGGTTAGGACAGGGGTTAGGACAGGGTTAGGACAGGGTTAGGGCAGAGTTAGGACAGGGTTAGGGCAGGGGTAGGGCAGGGGTAGGGCAGGGGTAGGGCAGGGGTTAGGGCAGGGTTAGGACAGAGGTTAGGGAAGGGGTAGGACAGGGGTTAGGGCAGAGGTTAGGGCAGGGTTAGGACAGGGGTTAAGACAGGGTTAGGGCAGGGGTAGGACAGGGGTTAGGGCAGGGGTTAGGACAGGGGTTAGGGCAGGCCCAGGACAGGGGTTAGGACAGGGGTTAGGACAGGGGTTAGGACAGGGGTTAGGGCAGGCCTAGGACAGGGGTTAGGGCAGGGGTTAGGACAGGCCTAGGACAGGGGTTAGGACAGGGGTTAGGGCAGGCCTAGGACAGGGGTTAGGACAGGGGTTAGGACAGGGTGTTCTATGCAAAGGTTATGCAGAACTGCTTCTTCATTCAGGGTTCTAGGAACAGAACACAGAAATTAGTTTAGAAATCCCAGAGCATGAAGTCTGCCTGTCCGATTGGTGGGGTTGAGTGCTGGAGAGCCTTGTAGCCTTTGATGTTTCTCTTTATTCTTGGACTCTGGGAAGCTGCTGGACTTGGCTTTGCTATTGTTTTGGATATTGATTTCCTTTGAAGTAGTGTTTCCTGTGTAGTCCAGACAGAGCTGGAACTCACCATCCTCCTGTCTTTGACTCCCCGTGCTGTGCTGGGGTTGCTTGGTACCACCACACCTAGCTTGTCACTGGAAACCTCTGCAGAGACACTCTTAGCTCAAGAGAAGTGGTCTGGAAAGTGATGGAAGGGGGAACCCTGATAAGGAGGGTCTTGCAGAACTATCTAGGGGAATTGATGGGCTAGTGGTCAGTCTGGGGAGATGGTGTCCTACAGTAGAGAGAGGGTATGTACCTTTCCAAAGATGGTGGTGGGCCATGACCAGGGTGCTCATGGCAAGACAAATGAAAGAGTGTCCGTGTTAGAAAAGAGTTAGGGTTGTAAGGAGTAACCAAGATGAAGAGTCCTGGATGCTAGAAGAGGAGGGATTGCTTGGAAGGTGTCCTCAGTAGTACTTTACATTAAAGGCTGAGACACACACAGTGCTTAGCCAAAGGTCTTCGTGGAAACCAGGTTTTCTATTAGGGAAGTAAGGAAAGCAAACTTGGTAGCTGCTGTTGGGAGTTGGCACTGTAAGGGAGGACCATCCCCTCAAGGCTCAGGGAGCTGTGCAGAAGAGGAGGTGAAATGATTGTAAGAGTCAGAGGTGACAGATGACTCAACAGGACTGATGCATGTGTGAACTCCTTAGAGACTGAGGCATCATGCACAGAGCCCAGGCAGATGGGGTCCCAGTGCTGAGAGAGAGAATGTGGACACGGGCTCCTACCCTAACCCTAACCAAGAAACTACATGCAACTGATTCCTACTGATTGTCTCTGGGTATATCAACCGTATCGCAGGGCAGGCCCCACGCCCCGGAGTTAGTTGGCTAACACAAAATGCTTTTTTGTTTTGAGAGAGATGGAAAGAACATAAAGTTGGGTGGATAGGGGAAGATCTGGGAGAAGTGGAGGCGAAATGTGGTTAAAATATATTGCTTTTTTTTTTCATTTACAAAGATGAGGGAAGATGTTCTTTTTTCAGTGGAGGGGAGGTGTGTTCTTAGAAGTTAGCGGGAGATGAGGTGCTGACACGGATGAATAGGCTGAGCACGAGGCAGGAATGAACAGAGAGCACAGGGGAGTGTTCATATGTACCAGGGAAGAGAGGAAAGCAGAAATAGAGGGTGGTCCAGAACCGTTTTGAAAAGCAGAAGAGGGAAGATCCTCCCAGTTTCTCAGTCCAACAGGGACTTAGAACTGGTGAACGCTAAGCAATCTAAGAAGCAGATTGGCTTAAGCTAACACACTGGTGGTATCGTTTGTTTGAGACTCAGGACATTGAATGAACAGGAGGCAGCTAGTAGATCTGTCAAACCCAACGCAGACGGTTTCACAACAAATCCGCACAGTTGTTAAGTTAGCCGTAAATCACAGCATTTGGTGTTTGTAACATGGGGGGGGGGTTGCTCACTCAGTTCAGGGTCTGTCCAGTCCTGATGTGTTCCTCATACTGTGTTTGGAGTAGTAGCTGAGGGGAAAAGCAGTTGGTGCTTCCACAGTGGGAAGAGCAGGTGTGACAGAACTGGGAATTGAGTTAAGGAATGCCTTTCAATGTGAAGACTTGATAAGGATGTGTAACTGTCATAATACAACTGTGTGGAATTGTGCAAACAGCGGGAAGGGACTTAGAGGAAGGTCCGTGGCTGGGAACTGAATGCATCACCCAGTTAGTACTTCATGTGGAACAGCTGGTGTGTCTTTCAGAAGTTCCCTCTTCGGGCCTCAGAGGAACCGGGCCTTCAGGAATATAAGCTACGCCACTAAAGTCAGTTCTAAAGTTACTGATGTGCAGACAGTAAGCTATGGAGGGTGAGGGTTGGTACAATGCCATTTAAAAGTCTTTCTTATACTTGGGATTTCTAAAGAACGGCCTGGTGTTACTGCATGAGGTTTTACGATTTGGGTCTTGACTGTAAGCAATTCAT